AAGTCAGCGGCTCTGGATCAGAAGGCAGCGACATGACTCCCATGCTCCCTTCGTCTCGGGGACTGAGGGTCCTTCCAACACGAAGGTCCATGGCTCCACACGGAGAGGAGCAGAGGGGGTGGCTCAGAACAGGACAGATTCCGGGGTTCTGGGCAGATGCACGAAACCGGTGCTGTTTATTTCCTCACCTCTCATCATCCTATTCATTCCTTCAGTCCGCCTCCACCAGGCAGGGCTCCTAAGTCAAGCCTACACGCAGGGGTCACTCTCCAGCCAGCACATTACCCAGGCCACCGGTGGGCATTTACTGAAACCTCGCTGTGTGCCGGGCATGGCAGCTATGAGGGCTGGAGAGAAGTTAGAAGCCGGTTCAGAGACCAATCCTGGAGGAACGTCCATATGTCTCCATTTTGCAGATGAGCAAACAGAGGCTTGGGGAGGTTAGGTACTTGCTTAGCCACACAGGACTAGTGGGAATGAAACAGATGGAAACAGAGACAGTGTGACTGCAGATGTTGGGGTCCTGCCCTACGACAAACACGAATGGCCTGGCTGAGGGAGGGTCTGCTATACAAGGACCCCCGGGCCCCAGGAATTCTGCTTCCCCGGGCATTCCCGAGTGAGGGAGTGGCCTTATGGGACCAGCCCTGGCCAGGAACTCCATCTATTCCAGGTGACCAGAGTCCCGGCAAACCCTGCTCACCACAAGGCAGCGGCTGTCCCAGCTGCAGAGGGGAAAGGAAACCAAGGCCCAGAGGGAGAGGCAGAGCTGCATGGGAACCAGTTCTCGGACCAGCCAGGCAGTATTGGAGGAAGACAGGGCACCCATGCCACCAGCATACCAGCGTGCCTGGGCACAAGGGTCTGGGCTGGCGGAATGCTCAGGCCAGAAGCCCTCTCCAGGGTGAACCACCTCTCGCCCTGCTCCACAACCAGCCCCCTTGTCCCCTGTCCCTCTCCTTCCTCCAAATCTCTCCACCCAACCCCAGCTCCCGCCAGCTGCCACAGAGGGTGAGCACCTGCCTGGGAAGGTTGATTCCCAAGGCTGGGACCTGCCCTTGCTCCTTGGGACCTCTTCCCCTTTCCCCACTGGTCACGGGCTCACCCCAGACACCAGCTTCTGGTCCCCAGAGGCCAGTGGGCGGTGGACATACAGAACAGTTCCACTACCCCAAAACGTCCTATGGACAGGACTGTAGGCTCAACAGATTACTCATCCTCAGGTACCAGCCAACAGGACAGCTGTGCTCTGCACTGGAGCTCACAGCTGTTGTGAGCTGGCTTCTCGATCTGCCCCCATCTCGCCTTGTTCATGTTAATGTGACGGTCACCACTACTTCATGCTTAAATATGTGCCAGCTGTTGGCTGGGCTTCATACAGACTTGACCCCCACAACCATCCCTGGAGGTAGGAATTATTATCCATACTTTACAGACGAGGAAACCGAGGCTCAGAGGGTAAAGCAACTTGCAGAGCGTTTCTCTGACCCCCGGTAGAAACCACTGCTCTCCAGGGCTGGAGGCCCACACAGCTTCCACTTAGCGGGGCTGGGGTGGATGCAGGTGAGGCTGGCCTGTTGCCAGCCACTGAGGTCTGAGCAGGGCAACAGCATCAGGCTGGGTGTGAGGATGACAAATCTGTTAGCCTGCACAGCTGTCTGATGACATGCGCTCTGATGGTGGAAACCTCCAGGCCTGTGGTGGCCAACTCACCAGCCACCGGCCACATGTGGCTACTGAGCACTTGAATGGACTGGTGTGCCCTGGCCGGGGAGCTCAGTTGGTTAGAACCGTGGTCAGCAAACTGCGGCTCGCGAGCCACATGCGGCTCTTTGGCCCCTTGAGTGTGGCTCTTCCTAAGCCTTAGGAGCACCCTAATTAAGTTAATAACAATGTACCTACCTATATAGTTTAAGTTTAAAAAATTTGGCTCTCAAAAGAAATTTCAATCGTTGTACTGTTGATATTTGGCTCTGTTAACTAATGAGTTTGCCGACCACTGGTAGAACATCAACCCAATACACTAAGGTTGCAGATTTGATCCTCCATCAGGACACATACAAGAATCAACCAATGAATGCATATCTAAGTGGAACAACAAATCAACGTTTCTCACTGTCCCTTCCTCTCTCTCTCAAATAAAAAAAAAGAAAGAAAGAAATTGACTGGGGAAACTGAAGCAAAGGACCTGAATAAATACTTCTCCAGAACAGACATTTCTCTAGAAAGGATACACAGATTGCCGATAGACATAAAAAATGCTCCTCACTAATCAGAGAGATGCAAATGAAAACAACAATGAGGTATCACCTCACTGAATGGCTGCCATCAACAAATCAAACAACAGTGCTGGCGAGGATGTGGAGAAAAGGGAACCCTCGTGCACTGCTGGTGGGACTGCAGACTGGTGCAGCCACTGTGGAGAACAGTATGGAATTTCCTCAAAAAATAAAAAAAAATGGAACTGCTGTTTGACCCAGCGATCCCACTTCTGGGAATATAGTCTAAGAATCCCAAAACACCAGTCAGGAAGAGCACACGCACCCCTATGTTCACAGCAGCACAATTTACAGCAGCTAAGATCTGGGAACAGCCCAAGTGCCCAACAGCAGATGAGTGGATTTAAAGGCTGTGGTACATCTACACCATGAAATACTACGCTGCTGTAAAAAAAGAGCGATCTCTTACCCTTTGAGACAACATGGAGGGGCCTGGAGAGTATTAATCTAAGCAAAATAAGCCAGAGAAAGAAAGACAAGTATCACATGATCTCACTTATATGTGGAATCTAATGAACAAAATAAACTGACAAGCAAAACTAAAGCAGGGGCATGGGTGCATGAAAGATCAACATCTGAGAGGGGAGGGGAGGAAGGGAGAGGTTAACCAAACATATATGCACAACCCATGGACATGGACAATAGTGTGGGAGAGGCCTGGGGTGAGCAGGGGCTGGGTGGAGGAGGACAAAGGGGATAGGGAAATGGGGGACATCTGTAATGTTGTCAACAATAAAGAAACATATAATTTAAATAAAATGTTAGTTTTGATAGCCACATGCAGCTAGTGGCTACCCAACTGGACAGAGTAGATTTAGAAAAAACTGGGGAGAAAAGAGGCAGGGCAGTGGGGAGGCAGCACGTGGAGGCGGCAGTGGGAGGGGCTGAGAGGAGGGCCCTGGAGCACAGCTGTGGTGCTGGGGGCAGAAGGCAGCCAGGGCACGCAGCCCGGACACGGGAGGGGTGGGGACAGGGAGCTGATGCTGAGATGCTCAGTG